GTCTAAACTAAACTTTTCCTTATCATGGATCCTACCTATAGACAACAACCCTGTTTGATCGGCTCCTATACATTTCGGTGGAATATGCTCAGAAGCATTTAATCAGGTCCAGTACTATTGGAATTTTAAATGTATTCTGCACAGTTTTCGCGCCATCTGTGGAGACCACTTAGGATTAACTTCGATTGTCAGGGCCGTAACTGGGCCGTATCAAAGTTTTAGCGCAATTGGAGATTTCAGAGTCCTTTCTGGCCCCAGATATCGTTATCAGATTGAAGCCATTTACGATATTGAACACTAGGACATCTTTCGTTTAAAATAAGGTATTCGTGTCGTTGTGTTAGCTCGTTTTTGCATACTATTGGGTACTAAGCGACATCAAAACATATGTTGAACGTACACCTCTAACAGAGGTTAGTGTGGTTGATGTCAGTGAGTGGCTTCGAGGTCGCAAGTATAAAGTAACTGCTTGGCGGCAACATCATACAAAAATCATTGCAAGTTTTAAGTGAAAATGGCCAGTAACCTGCCCTGAAGTGCTTATTTAAGAATGATTTCCGACGGAGCAATGCGTGATCTTTCAGAAAACATGAAGGCGGCATTTTTGTTTGGATTTTGATGCAATGTTCCATCGGTTCTAATTGAACAATGTTGGTGAGATAGTGTTTAATTATTCTAACTGCTAGCTTTGCCAAAGTCCATTAAAACGGTTCGCAAAGGGTTATCCCCTATGAGCCCAGTCAGGGTCAGGCTATATTCTCAAAAGCGCATTTATGACTCACGCTGTTTCACACTTCAGTCGTTAGGATTTTGTAGAAAAATGTCTGAGGTGAAGTGTTTGTAGCACCGTTGCCGCTGTTAGTCTAGAAACTGCAAGCTCTCAAAGCCCGAAAGAGCGCATCTTTTCATTTCACATTGTCTTCAGCCATGCAACTTACCAACCAAACTTGTTTTTATAAATATATTTCAAAAAGTCAGCTATTTTTTGTACATATTTGGACGCTTAAGGGGGATAAAAAGTTAATGAGCCGAATTTCGACGTTTAACGCTTACGAGGCTCTCCTGCCTCATCACATTCCATAAAGTAAACCACGAAGAAAACACGCATTGATGTTTCCTCACACAAGGCGTTACTCTCCGGCTAAATGTAACCAAAGGCGAACCTCCATGTGACTTTTACCAATGGTTTTCAAAAAAAGTGGTTTATGACATCATGGGAGCCTTTTTTCACGACGGCAAAGCCGTTGGGTTTGAAAAGGAGCAAATATGATCGTGACTTACACAACGTCATGTGGGGCAGTTTTGACGAAAACCTGTGCGTCACAAAAGTTGTGCCAACTCACACAAGGGGGCTTTTTATTCAATATGTTAGCTATGCATGAAATACCGGTCACTAGTTGATTCGTAATTAGAAAGCTTTCAACAAAGCCATAATTGGCATTAGTTTGACTTTCACGGATAGAAATGCACGGAGCGTCAGCAAATTGTTTTAATAAGCAATTTAGTGAAGTATCTTAAGCATCAAAGAAAATTGTTTCGATTTACTGAAGTCCAGAGCACAATTTTGTAGCCCAACCAGAGCTCGGACGATTTTTTTGAAAGGGAGTAGCAGAGGCCACAAAATCCCCGTAGTAAATCATTGGGGAAAATATGACAATGGCTAAGATTGTGTTTTTTGAGCTACAAACGACTTTCGAATATTTTAAAAGTCAGTTCTGTTAGGCACGGGCACATGCCGCGGGTGCCTTATTGCACGAAGAAAAAGTTAAATGCCATTTAAGTATCTGATGGGGAGGAGAGCATGTTGTTTAAATAATTTAAAAATTGTAATTTAACGTCATATTTGAAATAATGTTGCTTTAGGACAGCAACATTGATTCGGATGAATCTGTAATGGCTATTTTCGATAGTCACATCAATTAGCTTGTGTGAACCAAGTGGCCAATGCTGTGCCCCGCGAGGTAGACAACCCCCGACCTCGCCCCCCACTTGAACAAATCACGCCGCCGGTTGCCGTTTCCCTCTTCGGTGGGCCGCCACCCTCACCTAAGCTTCTGACGCAGTGAGCAGGTCACGAGTCTGTTGGACTATTGTTGTACATGGAAATGTGGAACGAATTTCAGATCAAGTAATTTCGATTTGACATTTCAAAATGAAGTGTGTAGGAAATAAGGCCAGATACACATTTGTTTTTGACAAATTGTAGCATGCTCGAGCTTTGAATATTGCAAAAAGGGAAAGCTTGTTGAAAAGTCTGTACTACTAATTAGTAGATGCACCATGGAGTTGTGTCTGAAGCGTAAGAAATAAGCGTTTCCAAAATGATGGGGCTCGACGCAAAAAAAGGCTTCGATAAATTCCCAAACCATTAAAACCCTGCTTGATTTAAAAACCCTGAACAATTACTAATCAAACGTAAAACGAAGTGAGTAATCGATGTTTAAAAATGTAAGTGTACACTAACGAAAATTCGGGACCTGTGGAATTAAATCTGTCAGCAAGTTACAAATAATGAATATTTTCAAAATACGGCAATGATGCCCGAGGGAAGTATCCCTATTCAGTAGTTTGAGAAACGCCATAGCAGCATTACGGAACAAATCAAGGCTAACCATCCCTCAGTCCGAAATTCGAATGCTGAATTCCAAGATTTTAAGGAGGTTGGCAAACTAACAGAGGTCGGAGACCCATTCAGATCACCAATGAGATTAAACTGTGTAGTACTCAGATGAGTTCGAATAAAGTATGCAATAATTACAAACTTTGCCGAGACGATTCGCTCGCCGAATGAAATTACTCAATTATATCCCAATCAGTGCATTTTGCTTTAACTTAATTTGCCGTTACATATGCATTATGTGCATAGCGAAACTGTATAGTTGATAAAGATTGTGTTATCGACCTACCGTTGGGTTTTCAGTTAATTGGCCTCGGTGCGTTTGTCTGAGTAACGTAGTAATTAAAATAATTGACAAGAGGATAGATAACTGCTAAGGCGAATTTAAAATGTTCACAAGTCCCAGTAACTGCGACTTTTGAGAAGCACAAATAATTAAGTGGGATGAGGTCTTCCATAAACTACAAATTGTTAAATGGGGAGAATTTATTGAAACCAATTTATGAAAAATACCCAAGTCTAAACCTTCCAGAAAGGCTACAGCAGAAGTCTATAAAAGCATCCTGTAATTGGCCTAAATTTCAAAAAAAATCTCACTATTCTTGTTCTTCGTACTTAGTAAGGCACTACTGATCTCAGTAGTCTGATTTAAGTTAGCCGGTTGCACTGACAATTTCTTCACTTCTAATCATAAGTGTTTCGGTGAACGTCCAAGATACCGTTGGGAAATCCTTATTTTGGTAAGCTTCGCACTTGAAAATCCCGTTCTTGTGTAGCCGAAACTCGACCTATGTTAGTTGTTCTATTGTCAACAATGCACCGCAAGGTATTTGTCCCACAAAGTCACGTAAAATTACTTTTCGGTGAGATATATTGAAATGACGCCTGAATGCGTTTGTGCATAATTTGCAGACAAGGCACACTCCTTATAGAAAAGGCTCGGCCTTATAAACCGTGAAGACGCTTCGACAAAAACAAAGTTTCAATCGGCACGAAAATAAGAACGCAAAAATGGATTTAACCTGAGCAATGAACATACAATTCGCATCGTCATTTAGAAATGCCAGTTTCAATCCACTTTGCCGTGTATCACACCTTCAGACTACTCGTCTTTTAAATTGCAAGCTCGTTTTTTTCTATTTTGTTTTCTCGTTAAGTACTGTCAGGATGTTTTAATTTAGTTCGACAACAACCAACTCACACAACGGTTGAGCCAATTGACGATGTGAAAATCTATGTTTATGCCTTTGGCGTCTTCAAACTCCCTTTCTTGCGAGCCTGCTGAAACTTTGAGGCGAAATGCGAGCTAAAAAAATTTTCAGTTTAAATATTTTACCCCTACTTCCACACTTGAAAGATGATGATGCAGAATTTTCTATAAAACTCAAAAAAATGTCAAAAGAAATAGGAAGGAGAATGAAAACAAATGGTAATCCCAGGTTGCCAGAATGAAATCGAGCTCTCAAAACACTCACGATGAGACCTTTCAACCATCCCTTTTCAGATAAAAGCATTAAATTATTGGGTCACTCAGGCCACATTTAATCAATTAATAGTATCATAAACGCCGGATGCATCGATGCTGAATATTTTTCGGAATACGAAACAATTTACGGAGATAAACGGTGCCACCCATGGACGAAGTAGTCGCAATGTAGGAACCAAATTTACTGATCGAATTTTATGCAAACACATCGCTCACTACATGTCCTGGATTTTGAAACTGACGGCCTAGCTCAACCTGGCGGAGGTTTGGGGTGGCAAGAATTAATGGGCTATTCCATTGGCAGAATGAGGCCTTCGGGTTTTTATTCAAATATATTTCGAAAACAGAAGACGAAAGCTAAATAATCACATCAAAGACGAAACGTGTCTACAATGGTGAACAGAACTCCCGCACAGCCTCACCGAGGTTGCAACATCAATTATTGCCGAGTCAAATTGTTCGACATGATGCAGAGGGGTATGAGACGGAATCGTTTATCCAGGTCAGTTAAGACAAATTTGAAAGTAAAGGCTTAAGCTCGATTTTAAGTGTATTGTTTTTAAGTGTGACATCGCATTCCGCAATGCGTCGATTTATTGGCCACGGCTATGTGGAGTTAGATTACAGTGGACTTCGAATCTTCCCAATGTTCTGTCAATTCCACTCTCCTGTGGCAGGCCGCCTTACTTGTCCACCATCCCAAAAAGAAAAAGAGACCCTGGAATGGACGGCTTTGTTAGATATATTATGCTTGGCCAGTAATTACAATTCAATTATACAAAGTCGTAATAAATTTTGCTCCAAGGGGAAGGCAATGATGATTTATGATCATAGTTATGGTAATCGGAGTAGCCGTATCGGGAAACAGAAATAGCCACTGTTTGCATGAGAGTAAAATTACTCGCCTCCATTTCTAAGCACTGTTATGATTTGGATGACAGTGGCTGCGGTTCCGCAAATGGCTGAAAACAAGCCAACCAGTAGTAACAAGGCATTTTTCGTAACAACGGTGAGGTAGAAGTGAGAAATTTGCTGACGATCAGGCCAGAGGTGGATGAGCTCAACTACTGGAGGAACGAGCAGCGACAGAGCAGAACTCGAAACTGAGCCCAGTAGGGACAGCATCAAGTCCAGATGGGGAACAAGCATCGCAACGGCGTCTAGAAGAAAAGGGGGCAATACGGTGACTAAGCAGAGACAGGTGACTTTGTGGAACTATAGAAACTTCACGGCGCGGTTGACTACAAAATGTGTTTTGTAGGCTTATATTTCTACTTAGAAAAAGAAATTCCTATTCGATCGGATGAGAAGCCAAAACAATCCTAATAAGGATAAGAGATGTAATAATCACCTTAAAAGACTAAATAGATGATGGTGATAATAATGGTAATAATATTAATTGCAAAGTACAAGAAAGCCTTCCAAATTGCCATCCCCTTGTTTAAAGGACACACAAATACAAAATCAAGTGGTGTGAACACTGAAAATAAAAGGTCTTACTAGCTCCCACACATTTGCGAAAATTTGCAGACAAATGATACAGCAAGTTCAACCAAAGAGTGAAGACGTTGAGTAAACATAAAGAATGAAAGGGAAGAAATTAATTTTTGGGATTTCCACGTACAGTCTTTTAACACATTAATGAGTGTCAGCGAAAATATGCCAGATAAGTATAAAGTTATTCCCATCGGGATCCAAAATTTTACCACAGTGAAAGCCAAGTGTATAGTTTAATAAGTAATCAAACGAATCCACAAGTCCAGACAGGATGCTTAAAGCTGTAAGTTCTAAGTGTTATTCCAGTAATGTTTCACTTGTACGAGAATTAAAAGGGAGCTCAAATACAGGTCCCATCAATTGGCAACAAATCGCCCTTTCTTCGAAAGAACAAATGGACTATCAATACGTTTTACATAAAGGTCATTAGTGTAGTGTCACATGGACACATAATCTCTGTGACTGGAATAACTTGGCGTAAATAAAACTGAGGCAGAAAAAGGTGGGTAGATTTCCGCTTTCCCTAGACAAAATTGTAAAAGGTGCCTTCAGTCCCCAAGAACGATTTCGTGACACAAAGAGAGAATCGAGAAGTATCGCCAGTGAGGAGTTTCCTTATCAACCAAGTTTGCTTCAAATCGTCAGGGAACCTAGTGTTAAGCAAGATGAATCTTCAGTTCTACCAAAGGAAGTGAGAGAATGATGACACGCACAGCTAATAGAAAATAATAAAAAAATTGGTAAAAACCTACTAGTCCGACCTCGACTAATGTACAACTACAAAGGACTAGCAAGAGCTACACAAATCATAAAGAGGAAGACAGTTAATGGACTTTTGCAGTTATAAGTACCGTCAAAATATCTACGGTACTAACCCTAAACAAAGACGACCCAAATTGAGTGACGTCTAGGTGTTTGAGTCGTATTCGTGGTGGATGGCTAAAATATGCTTCTTACTTAATAGGCAAAAGTATACCGAATAAAGTAAGACTTGCAAGTGAAGAGGATCAGCACAACGCGCATTATTTTCCGATTAATCGACTGTTGTTCAGGAGACGACATGCGGTGCCAGCGCATCTTCAACATTAGCCGGCCAAAAATGACAGCCGGGACGTAGAATTGCAGCAGATAGGAAAGAATGATGGCGAGGACAAACAAAGGCTTCACCGCTATGTAAACACTAAAAGCAAAGTTACGTTGAGCGATTCCGTCTGATTGTAGAAATATTTTGTAAATCGTTGAACTTGAATTTAGGTTCCAGTAAACAACTCAAATTCCGATAGATTTTCTTTTTCAAAGAGAATCTGCTTATAGAATGAAGTCCTTGGTAAATAAGCAGATAAACACAATTAAAATAGCTCAACAAACAAAGAGATTACAAAATTAGCCACGCCTAGTACTGGTGCAAGATGGACGCAATTAAACTGAAATAAAGTAATTAGATCAAGGAAACAAATTTAAGCCAAGGCTACTGAAGATAACACCATAGTACACATAATATCAACAATGGGGTAAAACGTCTTCATCCAGAGGGGGGAATGTTTCACTTGAAATTAAGTAGAAATTACACATATGCGCACACCAACCACACACAATAAATACTATAGAAATGAGAATTTTAATTTACAGCGAATGTTTTGGCGCCATTAATGCCTGCTCGGCTTAGTCCGATACATGCGCCTAACAGACTGTGCGTAGCAAAACGACGGGAATTTTTGGAAAAAAAGTGTCCTGCGGACACGCTCTAGCGTGAAACTTTATGTAGACTCATAATCACCCAGTGGCTTTCTTTGACGGCATCCTAGCCGAAACTCGAAAACGCGGCCCCTCAAAACAGAACAAAGACCCCCTTTAGTATCGGTTGCGTGTAAAAAAGCTTCGAGAGGTTTGTTGATGGGACCCTAAGGCAAGATATAATAACCAACCACATATGTCCCACACGAATGCGGATGCAACTCCACTTTGCACCTACGGATTAGTGTGTTGCCCTACAGGCTATAATTATACAAAGCATCCGACATGAACTATGGCCCTAAAACCTTCCACAAGACCTGCCATTCCCAAAGTAGTGTCATTTTGTCGATAAAGAACGACAAGAAAAGTCGTTAAAAAGATTACACTAATCTTCGAGTTTAAAAAACCTTCCTCAATTACACTTACACAGTACTTGGGATATTGTAGGTGATACTGCTAAGAATATCATTGCCGAAACAGAGGTAGCCGAAGAACCCGATCATTAAGCACAAGCAGGCCGTTATCACCATAGATGCATTCAGCACACCGAAAGTTGCTACGAATTCATCGGGGCAGTGCATGTGGTTGCGGATCGGTAAAGCCTAAAACATAGCATAAGACAATCTCAACAAGGCGGACTTAAATTTGCCTTAGAAACGTATAGATGACATATTTTAGTAAACCTATTATATGCAGAACGACACATGGCCATGTATAAAAACAGTGAATTCCGATTCAAAGCACCTCGGGGACACTGGACGGTTACCAACTTTAGCCAACGCGCTTCCAAATGCGCAAACTGTGTCCGACTGACATGAAGTTGAATATTTTAAGGGATAATATTTAATTTAAGCTTTTTAAAGAGTTTAGACTTCTGTGTTCACATCTAAAATGGTGTCAGCAGTCTCCGCGGGAGCCTATGGAGTAGCTGTTATGCAATGTAACAGAAATTCACTCAGTAGATTGAAGACTCATTTGGACGCTGTAGTTAGCTCAACCAGGATACATATACTACTGAGCCCACAGGTTTTCATTATTGAGCTCGTGTATTACGACTCTAAAAAAGCACATCAGGAAACAGGCAATCCTTGAGCCCGATGGAGCGACACAATGCCACACTATGCAACATATTGCACAAACGTGACATTAGCATTAAGACCTCTCTCCAATCAGGCCAAAACAGTCGCGACTTGAATCCATGGATTTGCCACTGGTAAGATAATCTTGGTCACAGGCACTTGCAACCAAGAATAATGCACACACATTAACTGTTTTCAAATATTCCCAAAGGTTGCAAATGCATTTAGCAGGTTGCCCCCAAAAGCGTTAGTTTGAAAGCTATGAAAAAACACTGAATGACTTGATAATGTAAAACAGTGTACTCGTGGGTGAGCGAAAGGAGTCACCTGGACGGGAACACTCTGGCATTTGTCAAATCAGGTTGTAAATCGAAATTTTAAAGGTATTCTAGCGCCATTTTTTTCAAATGTTAATGACGGCCTAGCGCATGTACCGGGTGTTTAACAACGTCAACCTATGGTTCCAAATGCTTCTTTTTAAAGAGGTTAATAAATTTATTGTGCGTTAGTTTTATTTGCTGAATAAATGAAAATATTGGAAATTCAGCCTATAAAGCGCGGAAAAGTTAATAATTAACAAAGCAGTGCGGTCCGAAATATATAGATATAGCAGACAACCAGTTTCGGAGAGGACGATGGATTCATTTTCTGAAGTGAAATAATTGCCTGAATGGGCAAGCCACCTTTAAACCCAAATAGACTGAATTTTGCGACTAATGAAACAAAGTTACCGAAATGTGCGAAATATAACCCTCTCGTCTTTTACCACTTTTATAGATTTGGTTTTTACACTTAGCAGTTGGATGCTTGAGGTTAGGAAGCACAATCAGGCATGCAGATTAACGATTTTATCATTAAACTTCGGATCACACTGCGTGTCCTAAATGATTTCTATTTATGTTATTAATCTAAACAACAGAAATGAATTTTATTAGCTCTAAAAATGTTAAACAAACCCCTGGATTCAATTGGTGCAGAAATATGTCAAGGAAAATTTACAAATCTGGAGTTGTGAAATAACCAGCCCATTAAAGTCGATAATAAAGAACAACAGTTGCGTTTATCATGTTATACATGCAGATATTAACCTAAAATTATATTGCAGAATCGAAAGGGGATTTCCTCAAGTAAACTTATAAGTTTCAACTTGTACCTCATACCATTGACACTACGAGTCACAGAAATTCGAGCTCCAGGAGACAAAAACGACTATGAAAAGTTGGGGAGATACTAAATGAATAAATCGAAATTATAGAAACGAAACTTACTCCAGCCTTTATTTTTCTTAAGATGACATTACAAACTTCGTGGCTGTAGATATGATCATGAAATATACTTATAGCATACCTACAGCACTAAGAAATCTCGTTACGAACAAACGCATACATAAGATTAAACGCAAGTTCCTGGCGACTTAAGAAAGCATGAAGGGCAACCTCAACCTTTAAAGACACAGGGGAAGTTGCTACATGTTAATATTTCCTGATTTGAGATATCCGACAAAAAACCGGTATTTTACTATGGTTACATGAGACTTACCAAGGCCACGCCTTCAAAAGTAAATATAAATATCCCAAGAGCTATACAAACTTCGTGAAAAGATGTGTGAGAAGGCAACGTAGAAGGATCTCCAAGACCACTTGTGAATAGATAAATGAAGATGAGCGTTAAGCCCGCTATGGTAGAGACCATGGCAACAGCTGATGGAATTGATAAAATCCGGATACTTATTTTGATATTCAGCATTACTATCAACAGAATGACAACAAATCCAATTAAATTCAGATTTGAGTAAGACCCCGGCCAAGTTGATTCCATGAACTGATTTTCGACTACAATTAATCAGGTATTGAATCCTACATATTTAATATTTTGGGAAACAAACAATACGTAGAGACAGCAAAATCCCAATTGCGTTAAAAGGAGGAAAGCGTTGATTGTATGTCTAAAAATGAGAGGGCTCATACAAAACTAACTTGGCTTTGCCCTTGTACTTTTTAAGGCATTCTGGTCCATACTTAAAAATGTTAAAAACAGCCTCCGCATAGTCGACCTTAGAGCGATCCAGATTGTGCCTAAATGTGAAAAATGCAAACCTGAACTACTTTACGATCACAATCTCCACAGTACGCAGCAAAACATGCATTAGGTACGTCGAAAGAAATGCATAAAACAACAGCAAAAACGACCCAAGCCAGATACCGGAATGTTTAAATGCAATTGGGAGGGCCAATATTCCGGTGCCAATATTGCCTTTTAAGAAATTTACTAAGGCAGCGCCCGAACTAAATGAACAATTTACATATGGTAACAACATTTTCAGACCTTGTACTCTTGTTTGTAAATTCGACAGAGTTGTCACCAAGAGGTTCAAGCAGTTCGACTGCAGTCTCGCAGTCGCTTTCATTCGCCGCCGAAGCATAGCGGTGAACCATTGTGATGTGGTGTGGCGTCGGATTAGGGCGCAGACATGTTGGACCACCTGGCCTCAGCCAATCCCGTGTCTCTCTGTGTTCCAATGGCATGCGAGGAAGGTAATCAGCCAACCAGAGAAGGACATGGATGTGATACAGTATATAATGAGCGGCGTGGCCAGCGTGGGGGACTCGGATGGAGGGCGCATGACGCGTGGCTCTGGCTTCTGATTGGTCAATAAAGCCTGTTCTATTGTACCAGTTTTCTTCCTATTAGGGCTCGGGTAT